TACAGTAGTATTTCTTACAAACAAAGTTTTTTTATGTAAAAAATCATAGAATATTGTTGCCAGTTTGCCACCCAACATCGTATCAGAAAGTTGGGAAGTAGTTAAAAGAAGAGCCAATCATTAGTCTCTAACGAAACTTTGATAGGCCTTTGTAAAATTGTAAGGTACTTGGAGATACAGAAGATTGAGCGTGATGAGTACCTATTATAATTTTGTGTAAACTATTATTTCATATTTAAGGTAGTGCTAGAGCAGTAACGTTACATGGGTACAGATTCAAAATTGAAAATGGAACGCTATAACCAATATAATAGATATCTAATATATCTAGGTTTCGTTTCTTTTCGATAACGTTTAGGGTTGCATTTGTAAGGTCGAGATCCTTTGAATTTCAACTATTATCGATAAACGTTTGTTTGGTCAAACAACTTGGACATTTAACACAAAGGCCCATATACTAATATAAAAATAAACGAGGATAACCACAATTCTTGTATGAACGTTTAAAGTTTTCTAAAATGTTAATAAGATTTGTCAAAATTACGAAAATATTCAAATTATGTTGTATGTACAYTAATATTATACTTAGCTGAAATTGTATAAAAGGTTCATTTTTTTTGCTTAGACTTGAAAATGTAATTAAAATAATAAAGAAATAACAAAGAATATCGATGTTAGTTATTTTTTTGTAATTTAAAAACGATTATCCAAATTTATTATTGATATTTTTTTTAGTTTTTTTTTTTTTTTATTGTACATGTACTCTTGGCAACATAGGCTATTGGGCTTAAAGTGAAATAATTATAATTACATATTATTTGTGTAGTTACTATTTCACTAAATATTATTGATATTAATGTTATTTATGTTATTGTGTGTATAAAATATAATAACATAGGTATATGGTATATACTTAAAAAGCTTCCCACAAATAAATATTTTTAAATTATAAAATACATGAAGTGCTATTAATGAATAGTTTCTTCGCCAAGCCAACCATGATGACCTATAATATATTATACATCCATTGTACTTATTGTAATTATTTTTTTATACAGATTGTACAAATAAAAACAAATATGAAAAAAAAATTATAAAATAAAATTTCATTGACATTTAAAAAATACAACAACAACAAATTCAAAAAGTTTCAAAATATTTTGAGTATTGGATTTTTTACGGAATATGGTCATATTTRATGAGAATTAAAAGTAGGTACCCATCTATATAAGATAATTCTTTTTTGAGTTGATAAAAAAAAAACTTAATCGATTAAATTCTAAAAAATTCAATTATAATTTTAAACGTAGTTTTCTAGCAGGGTATACAATATTCATAAATAATGTTATATTATTTGGGAACTTCCGGGTTGTAGGTAAGTTATAATAAGAAAATGTAATATGTGTCTATAAAAATTTGTTTTTATTTTCGTAAAAGATATTGCGACACCATTAAATCTTACAGCGTCCTAAAGGATTGCCCAGGATGGACGAAGTGACCTTATTGAGAACTTATAGGACAATAATTTTTTGATTCAGCGGATAGGAATTGTAAAGTAGCTATAAAGTGAGGAATTTTTTAACAGGACAAAAAAACCTTAGTAGCTTGAAGCTTCTGCATGTACCTACTGATATTCTAAGATTTTTAAATAGATAAAGTGTATATTTAAAACAAAAKGAAGAGTATTAATTCGTTTTCTAAAAGTAATATTTTTAAAAGTTTGAATTTTATATCAGATAGATTTTAAAATACAGTGAAAACTCTCTATATAATGAACCTGAAGGGTCAAGGGACCATGTGATTTCTTTTTTTATTGAGAGTTTTCGTAATAGATAGTAATTAATAAGTTTTAAATCAATCCAACCATTATAAGTTAACTTAATGTTAACTTACGTAATATTATAGAGTTTTTCGTTGTAACGAGTTTCGGTAAAGAGAGTTTTCACTGTWGGTAGTTTTGTTTATTAGCAGTTTTATTTTGAGGCTTGAAGTGATGTGTATCTATAACACGCAACGCTAGGTGTTTAATTTAAGGTCGTCCTTTATTTTCGTAGTTAATTAACTGAAAAATACAAGAATGGAGTTAATCTGATATGAATTGGAGGAGTTATAAAAATGTATCGGTTAATCAATTATTTTATGTTCTTTTAATAATTATAATTATAGTGTTTAATAACTTATATTTTAATTTTTAATAATATATTAGTAGACAAAACTATAGCAGTAATAAAATATTAGAGTCTTATGTATAGGTATGTTTAGTCATACAAGAGCATATGTATAGCCGTATAGGTATAGGTACTGCATTGCCTTTGATGTTATATTTCTTAAATTATATAATGAATAATGATATATTATTATTATTATTTTTATCAAATGTTAGTATGTGTGTAAACATATAATAGGTAGTTGTGAGTATTTTCAATTTCCGTTAAACTATGGTGATGTTGAATCTAAAGCAGCATTGGTCGGTCTCAAGAGCTTTAGGTCCGTCGTCCCAAAACTTCAGTTTTACTGTGTAACGAGCCCTAGGATAGTTTTTGGATACAAATAATTTGTATAGCCAATTTTGTTCGGTATCCTTCATGATGGGGCAATTTGTGTATAAGCACGCGTTCGTGTTCATGTCCAAAAACGGCAAGTCCAAGAAAACTGTTTCAGCGTATAGTCTTGTCCGTGGTAAGGCCGAACCGAATTCTGAAACGATTTCGTAAATATTAAAATTTAAAAAGAAGTAAAAAATCTTAATATCTCAATATGTACTAGCTAGCTGTCCCGCCTGACGTTGCCGGGCCAATGATTTGTATTTTTAATAAATATACTTGTAAAAAAATGTACAGATTTTAAATTTTCACGATTAATTAGTTTTTGTGTATTTATTTAAACATATACATTCAACCCTCACGATATTGTTTAAAGATATAATTTCTTTACTTATTTAAAACTATWTAAACGTGAGAATTTGACGTATTTTTTACGTTATACCTCATCTGCAACCATCTAAAACCAGTGTTTGGAAAGAACGTCGTTCATGAACGCATGTTCACACGTTCACGTTCATAGTTAGTGAACGATACGCGAATGTCGCTCATTTTGTAAAAATAGAACGTGAACGTGAACGACGTTTATATTTTTAATGAATTTAAACGATTTTGAAGACGCTCAATTTATTTACTATTTAATAAATATAATATGTTAATATGTATATAATTTAGACGCTTTAGAAAATGTATATTATGCTCTAAAGTCTAAATTGTTTTTATTTTTGGGTTGAGACCTATATGTTTATGGGTTTTTATGCAAACTGCTGGTAAACTATTTATAAACAAAAAATTATATGAACGACCTTATGAACGCGTTCATTTTCTCAAAGAACGTGAACGTGAACGCGTTCGTATGAAAAAACATGAACGTGAACGTGAACGAGTTCCTTTTTTAAGGACTGAACGTGAACGTGAACGAATTCATTTTTTTAGTGAACGTTCCGAACACTGTCAAAAACTAAAGTTATCAATTGCAAAAAATACTAATTTATCCTACTACTATATCATAATCTGTAAGCTGTGACCAATATCAATCATTTATAAACAAACATTTCCATGGTAAATATCGAAATCCATTTTTATATTTGGAATAAAATAAATTAAAGATTTACTATATGATACAATTCGATAATGATTTATATTTATATTTTAATATTTTAATTTATAATGTATAAATTAGATATCCAATTTTAATATTACAAATTTAGCATTTACGACTATTTAGTATGCTTGTCATGGATTTTTGGCGGCGGTACAAATTCCCATTAACGGTGACGGTGAGATAATACTATAGTAGGCGTTCCTACATTTTTGTTTATTACCTGTTAATTTATTAACTTTTTCTTATTATATTTTTTTATCTATTAAAAAAACTTTCAATAGCCGTGATTCTAATAAACTACAACTTTAGCTCTGAATCATATTTTTCATACAACGATTCATCTAAGGATCTTAAGTGATTAACGACAAGGTATACTTGAAAACAGATTCTATACCTATACTACGGTATACGGCATACAACAGAGTGTCTTGACTTAACGCTACTACATTTTATTCTATAAGTAATAACTCTAAAGGCTCAAGGATGAACTAAAATAAAAAACAAAACGTACTTCAGTGGTATCACTGTAAACTTGTATAAATTCAAAAATATTTCTTATGAGTGCCAAAATTTATATCAATATATAATTATTGAATATTACAAAAATTTCAATCAGAGGACAACGATTTTAGTTTTTTTTGTTGTAATTCAGAAACTATTGATGGTTGCTGTAAAGACTTAGCAAAACTTATAGCCATTGCGGATATTATTATTTTATAAACACAGAGACATTTTTAAAACATTATTACTAATTTCATTTATTTAAAACTTTTTAAATCATGAACTTCACATCGTTCATTAGTCATTTGTCTATTTACCTATAAGTTATCATAGTTAATAATAACAATAATAATGGGTAATATAACAGATCAATTTAATACATAGAACATAAAGTGTCCCTGGTGACCATATCAGCTCAGAATCGTTTTATTAAATCGCTCAAATTAATTTGAATTTGGCATTTCCTTTACAATTAATCCACTCGACGCCTATTGTATAGCAGACTTCAGAACGGAACTTATGCTTGCCCATTTTTTCATAATTATATTTAATTTTATATTATGAAATTATAAATATGACTAATGGATTTAACAGTCTTATATACACGTGGAAGATATAGTTTTAATAATACACAATATATAAATTACTAATAATGAACGATAAGAAAATTATATTTTGCAAGAATAATAAAACAATTTTCTTTAATTATAAAACATTTATTTACTGTCTCTCATTTAAATATGCTTAAAATGTGTGATTAAAACATAATGTATTTACAAATTATGTGTTTATAGCTACACGTAGATTCTTGAGTTATTTGAAATTAACTTGGTAAATGTATAGAATGCTAAGATAGGCGTATTTGAAAATTATATAATTCTTATAAATTTATTAGGTAGGTACAACTTACAAATATTTGCAATTTGTAATATTTATGCATAAAAAGTGTAATTTGCACATATCTAATAATATTAAATTTATATTAATAATTAATAACTATTTACATGTATACATCTTATATTTTAATGATTTATGTAGTCATGTAGGACGTAGGTATACATAACACTTCTGTAATTAACTAAAGGAAATTCTGCCTGTATGTTTCTTTTTTATTAGGTAATAAAAATTAATTCAAATTGATAGTTGTAAATTATACAGTTATTATATACATATATAGATTTTTATAGCATTGTTGTATGATCAACGATGAACAGGATGGATAACATACTAATATATCACTATATAGGCAATACCATTGATAGAAAATATTTATAATCGATGGAGATAGGCATAATAAAGAATAATTTAGACCATAGTTATATATTATTATAATTGATAAAGCTTGTATACTAAATATTTAATACATAATATTATAACTTGTTAATTTTCTATTTTTAACGTAGTTGAATTTCAAAACTTTGGAGAAAGGTATTTTAATGATAAACGTATGTAGTATAGGCTATCACTACATCTACTATAAATGTCATACTATGTATTGTTAATTATGTTGTATTATAAGGATATTATATCGTATTATTAAAGTTGTATCATTAGCTAGATTCTGTTATTATATTATGTACATATTATATTTTAAATTGGAATTAATTTCCGTAAACATTTTAATAATACAATAATTGAGAAAACGACTCACTCGTATTTTTAACTAATTAAATAATTATTATAATCAGTTAACAATGTAAAAGTATAAGCCTATTTAGTATAATTGTATATTGTGTAAATGTATAATTGTTGAGCTGTGTCGAGCTGTCATAATGTCATAGCTCTGATTAAAAGGTGATGATAATAAAAACCGGGTAAGTCGTGGATATCGCTCTGCTATACAGTAGGTTACAAATGGRTTACTGTAATGGATGGAATTAAATTTGAATCCAGTGATATTCTATCATTGTATACGAAAAACGATTCTGAGTGGAGACGGTTTATCTGTCTAGGATATATTATAGATTATTATTATTTATTAAACATATTAAACATTCATTCATACCTCTATAGGAAAATACAAAATAATTTAAAAACATATATACACACACCATTTAAATTATTATAAATTTAACATATCAATGTAAATTGTCATAATTTCAAATCTAAGCTCGCCCGTCAAAATTATTACTATAATATGGACCCATTACGCATTAGGGTACTAAAAAAATATTTCACCTGAAATTTCGGGGGGCTTTAGCCCAAAAGCCCACACCATGGATATTGTACTGTTATGTGCATACTGCATACTGCATTTTGCATTTTATATAATATTATCATATAACATAACCTACCTACCTACCTGCCTAAGTGTCTTAGTCGTTTCTATACTTCATTACCTATCAACATATATTCTGCCTAGTTTTTGTTTATGCTTCCTATTATAGCGTTTTAGTACTATTTAAAGAATATTTATACATACTAGGTTTATATTTAAATGTGATAGACGCGTTAACTGTTTGTGGCAATTCACATGGTTTTTCTTCTAAAGCTTCGGGACACGGATCAATAAACACATCAGTAACACTACAATTAGTGTCTGAAAAAAGAAACATTAAGCAATAAAAAACCGTAGTAAAATTTGACCGACATCATATTATGATTTATACAACCAATTTAAGTATAAATACAATACTCACTCCGGCACATGCGAAAGTCGGTGACTTTTTCGGCGTCCACTGCAYTTGCAGCAAACATCAATCCTACCATCACGGTTAATATGAAAATCACCATTGTGTCACGGAATCAGTAACGTATACTAATGACTAGCACGAGAAAACTTTGAAGTCAGTGCATGCGGTTTGGTACAATTTAATTTATCATACTGTGATAACCCGCGGAGGGGTTATCGTTTATATGTAGAGAATACAATTTTTTTAAGTCAAAGTGGGGGTTTATCCAATTCATTTTAATTTTTATGTCATTAGTGTACCTTATGTGTTTATGGTGTATAATATACATTACAATATATACTGTTAAGATAAATCAAAATCAAATAATACGAACCGTCAAGCATGTTTATCGTTTATATACCTACTGTATATATATACTATCGAGGCATATATAATGAATTTTCTTGAGTAGGGAATACGAATTTATTCAGAGTCACTAACGCGAGGGGGGCTCYGCCCCTTCACTCAGTTCACTCCCCTTAACCCCGTACCATCATGTTGCCTTAAATTTATTAAAATATATTTTTGTTATCATCAATACAAAATACGTTATCAAAATTCTGTAGTAATATATATATTTATATATATGACTACATACTTGTTAATACGTTTCTTACTTGAGATTAAATAATTTGCTAAAACAACATTTCTGTTTAAAATTATATACGTGGCATTTAAACATAAATTTTTCAAAAAAATATTTAGTGAAAAAATTTCAAAATCACTCATAACGTTTCATATAAAGGATTTAGAGATTGAAAAATTCACCCCCTCCCCCTCAACCGTTAAAATAAAAATGTTGGTTTTTGCCATAAGCACCAACTGTAACTATAACTTTGGAAGTAAGTCCGACCTACAAAATTCTGATTACCTATAAGTATATCATTTATCGAATTCAGTGAAATACATAGGTTTCCGAAATAATTTCCAAAAATGTGTTAGTGGTTAAACTTGCTGTAGGTTAGGTTTCAATATACCTATTTGAGCAATAGGGATGATTAATGTTTATTCCAAAGAAATATTATCTTAGTTATGTAAATTTTAGAATATTATATGTACAAGGCATGCTGAAAGGGGCATCCACTGACACTATTTCAATACTAATTCTTTAATTTTGATTTAATTAATTAGTTTTTTTTTTGCTCATTATACATATAAGTAAATCACGTGACCAGTTACGTAACAGGCGACAAGGAGGATAGTTGGGAATGGTGGCAGAGGAAAGATTAGAAATTACAGAGCAAGGGTGATTGCGAGTGTGTGCATGGAACTATGGAAGTTATAGAATAATAAATGAGGGCGAGAGTTGGTATAGTGCAGATGTATAACCAGATAAAGGTCGTTATTTAAAGTAAGGATACTGACATACCATGGAGCTTTAGTTATTATCCTAAAATTAATTTATTGAAAAGCTTGAAAAAAATTGATGTTCGAGTTTTGGCTGAGCTCCAAAGTTGGATGCCGTAAGTTATATCTGGGCAAATAATTTGTTTGTATATGGATAATTTGTTGGAGAGTGAGATTGTTGGATCYTATTAGAAGATGTCAAAATGTATGTAGTCTGAGGTTTAAGGTTTAATACCTATAAATAATATTATTTATAGTTAGATAAGTGCTTGAATATTGTTTACCAGTTTTAAAAAAAAATTCAGGGGAGGGATATGACACCCAAATCTCTCACTCGTAATTACATCACTGCTGCAGGATACTGTATAGGTTATTGTATATATTTATAATTTTCAAATTACGTTCACGTAGATAGGTAKTATACATAGATATRGATTCAATATTTATCCAGTTTATTTTTTTTATAAATTTAGTCCTTAAGAACCTCGCAGAACACTTGTCGAACGAATTGGCCAATAATTTAATCAAAAATATCAAAACATGAATTTACCTATAATCATTTGCAAGATTACTGTCAAYAGCAGATGGCAGAAGAATCATGGAAACTGAAACATATTAAATTGTTGATGTCTGCAGTTTAAATTATTTAATTTCATTAGGTGCAAAGCTTTCGCAGTTTCAAATATTTCTATAACAAACAATTATAATATTGTATACATTATAAAATTATCTAAAAAAAATCTTGTTCAAGGATAATGTTTTTCATAACATTGATTTAAATGTGAATTATTTAATAGCTATAGTAATAGTATATAGAGCATTAGGTACCTATGTAGGTATACGTAGGTACATAATAATTCATAAGTATCATATTATGTATTTGTGATTTATCCACTGTATTTCTCTAATTTTTTTTTTAATTTTCTCCTAAAAGAATATTTCGTATAACTACCACTCAAACACTGTATTTGTAATAACATTTTCAGTTTATAGTTTTGTTTACAATATGTAGGAACATAATRCATACACTATAAAGGGACTATAGTCTATAGTCTCTATAGAGACTCTGCATAACGTTTAATTTGCTATGCAAATATATATAATACAAGTGGATAAAATAACTTATTTTTAGACAATTTATAAAACCATTTTTAATCGTAGCTATCTAAGCATATATCGTAATAATATACTTAAGTTGTCAGTAAGATTAAGTAAACAAATTTTTCAAATTTTTCAAATGTGTTTTAATATTTTTATTTTATTTATANCTTTGGAAGTAAGTCCGACCTACAAAATTCTGATTACCTATAAGTATATCATTTATCGAATTCAGTGAAATACATAGGTTTCCGAAATAATTTCCAAAAATGTGTTAGTGGTTAAACTTCCTGTAGGTTAGGTTTCAATATACCTATTTGAGCAATAGGGATGATTAATGTTTATTCCAAAGAAATATTATCTTAGTTATGTAAATTTTAGAATATTATATGTACAAGGCATGCTGAAAGGGGCATCCACTGACACTATTTCAATACTAATTCTTTAATTTTGATTTAATTAATTAGTTTTTTTTTTGCTCATTATACATATAAGTAAATCACGTGACCAGTTACGTAACAGGCGACAAGGAGGATAGTTGGGAATGGTGGCAGAGGAAAGATTAGAAATTACAGAGCAAGGGTGATTGCGAGTGTGTGCATGGAACTATGGAAGTTATAGAATAATAAATGAGGGCGAGAGTTGGTATAGTGCAGATGTATAACCAGATAAAGGTCGTTATTTAAAGTAAGGATACTGACATACCATGGAGCTTTAGTTATTATCCTAAAATTAATTTATTGAAAAGCTTGAAAAAAATTGATGTTCGAGTTTTGGCTGAGCTCCAAAGTTGGATGCCGTAAGTTATATCTGGGCAAATAATTTGTTTGTATATGGATAATTTGTTGGAGAGTGAGATTGTTGGATCYTATTAGAAGATGTCAAAATGTATGTAGTCTGAGGTTTAAGGTTTAATACCTATAAATAATATTATTTATAGTTAGATAAGTGCTTGAATATTGTTTACCAGTTTTAAAAAAAAATTCAGGGGAGGGATATGACACCCAAATCTCTCACTCGTAATTACATCACTGCTGCAGGATACTGTATAGGTTATTGTATATATTTATAATTTTCAAATTACGTTCACGTAGATAGGTAKTATACATAGATATRGATTCAATATTTATCCAGTTTATTTTTTTTATAAATTTAGTCCTTAAGAACCTCGCAGAACACTTGTCGAACGAATTGGCCAATAATTTAATCAAAAATATCAAAACATGAATTTACCTATAATCATTTGCAAGATTACTGTCAAYAGCAGATGGCAGAAGAATCATGGAAACTGAAACATATTAAATTGTTGATGTCTGCAGTTTAAATTATTTAATTTCATTAGGTGCAAAGCTTTCGCAGTTTCAAATATTTCTATAACAAACAATTATAATATTGTATACATTATAAAATTATCTAAAAAAAATCTTGTTCAAGGATAATGTTTTTCATAACATTGATTTAAATGTGAATTATTTAATAGCTATAGTAATAGTATATAGAGCATTAGGTACCTATGTAGGTATACGTAGGTACATAATAATTCATAAGTATCATATTATGTATTTGTGATTTTATCCACTGTATTTCTCTAATTTTTTTTTTAATTTTCTCCTAAAAGAATATTTCGTATAACTACCACTCAAACACTGTATTTGTAATAACATTTTCAGTTTATAGTTTTGTTTACAATATGTAGGAACATAATRCATACACTATAAAGGGACTATAGTCTATAGTCTCTATAGAGACTCTGCATAACGTTTAATTTGCTATGCAAATATATATAATACAAGTGGATAAAATAACTTATTTTTAGACAATTTATAAAACCATTTTTAATCGTAGCTATCTAAGCATATATCGTAATAATATACTTAAGTTGTCAGTAAGATTAAGTAAACAAATTTTTCAAATTTTTCAAATGTGTTTTAATATTTTTATTTTATTTATAATATATTGCGACATGGTACCCATCAGTGTCTTGGAATATTACCACTAATGCCGGGACGACACATTTTGGATTCAGGTGATTATTATGATGTAGAATTCTAGCGCGTAGTCTTATAAGTTATAATATAGCTAACAACAAAAATCTTTTAATTTTTCGAAGCTCTACTGACATAATTCTAACTTTTAAGATCTTTACAGAGTATATATTTAAAATAAAGGGAAGAGTATAAATTAATTTTAAAAAAACAATTTAGAAAAAAAAAGGCGATTTAGATTTAATAATTTAAAATATCGGGAAACCTTAATAATATGCTCTACATCGTAATAATTGAATCGCCCATCATCGTCCATGGACTGTTTTTTACGACGAGGGACGTAACGTTTTTGTACTTTTATTTTTTAAGAATGCGATACTATGTGTTCAATTATTTCAAACTTTAAAAATTTGGTTCTTAGTTTTTTTTTAAAGTTGACGGAAATGTATGAGACTGAAATTATTTTGGTCTGTATTATAGAATTTACACCATAGGCGTGTTTACGGGTATGGCCAATCTGGCCATGGCCAGATCTGCGAAATTAGCGGCCCTCCCTACCCTTCACTTATTCCACCATCATTGGRTATACACGCAGATATTAATATTATATTAAATTGTTATCATAGACAAAGGGCAATTTAATGGATATCACGTGATATCGTGATATCTGCAATCTGCTCATAGAATAGAATAATAGGTAGATAAGAATATTTAAAAAAATATTTTTTTTTAATTTTATAAAGTTATTGTACTTTTTAGCACAATACCGGTAACAAGTTGCTCTTGTGAG